TGCTTTATTATTAATATCTTCTTAATAGATTCCCTACCTCCCCATACCAACCCTACCTCACCATACCCGCCCTACCTCACCATACCAGCCTTACCTCACCATAACCGTCCCTACCTCATCATACCAGACCTACCTCACCATAACAGTCCTACCTCACAATACCAGCCCTACCTCACCATACCAGCCCTACCTCACCATACCAGCCCTACCTCACCATACCAGCCTTACCTCACCATAACCTTCCCTACGTCACCATACCAGCCTTACCTCACCATAACCGTCCCTACCTCCTCATACCAGCCCTACCTCCCCATAACAGCCCTACCTCACCATACCAGCCCTACCTCACCATACCAGCCCTACCTCACCATACCAGCCCTACCTCACCATACCAGCCTTACCTCACCATAACCTTCCCTACGTCACCATACCAGCCTTACCTCACCATAACAGTCCTACCTCACAATACCAGCCCTACCTCACCATGCCAGACCTACCTCCCCATACCAGCCCTACTTCACCATACCAGCCCTACCTCCCCATACCAGCCCTACCTCACCATACCAGCCCTACCTCACCATACCAACCCTACCTCACCATACCAGCCCTACCTCACCATACAAACCCTACCTCACCATACCAGCCCTACCTCACCATACAAACCCTACCTCACCATACCAGCCCTACCTCACCATACCAGTCCTACCTCACCATACCAGCCCTACCTCACCATACCATCTCTACCTCACCATACCAACCCTAAACCACAATACAACGTCACATTTTAAGATTCGTAGATTTTTCATTAACAATAAAACATGACCCCATCATATCTTTGTTTTCGACAGTTATTTGATTTTAAGTTTGGGCAGAAACCTTCAGACATTTGTACAATAGTTTGAGAGGTCATGCCCAATATAACCAACCTTGAGTAAAATATTCCGAAAGACCTTGCCACGTATAATTAACCTTAAGTAAAATATTCCGAAAGACCTTGCCACGTATAATTAACCTTAAGTAAAATATTCCGAAAGACCCATGCCTTATATAACTGACCTTAAGTAAAATATATCGAAAGACCCTTGCCATATATAATCAACCCTGCATACCATGATTTGAAATTGTATGCCCTATGTCATCGTCACTTCCTAAATAAAAAAAAAAACAAAACATTTTTCAAGACAACTTTGAGAACCTCTGTGTTGCAGGTACTGGTAGCGTCAAATGCATGGGTTTTGTGAAAAGAGGAAAAGACTTGTACCTCAATATGTACTCTGAGGGCAATGTATTCTGCACGGTGAGTACCTCAGTTGCCTAGTTAACGGACATGTTTACCAGAGATATATCTTCCATGGAAAATTGTGCGATGGATATTTGTTGCAAAGAAATTGGTGGGAGAAATATTTGTGCCAAGGAATTGGTGCGACACAAGTTTTTTGGAACGGAAATCTATTCCAGGTTTTGCAATAGAATTTTGCTATTTGCCTCCACGTTAACATTGTAAAGCAATCCTATAGAGTTCAGCTCTTCAGCTACTAGTCATCATTGTCAAGAGATGTTATTTTAATCCCTCATGGACCGACAAGTTATCATTGTCAAACTGTGCTACACAAAACTGTTATTTATCCCCTGTTTGGAATTGTCAAATTCGGTTGTTTTATTCATTTATAGGCTTACCGGTATAAGATTGATAGATCGTCCATGATGATATCATGTATGATAATAAGGATGGAGGCTCAATTCACGTTAGGTGGAGGGAAATATATCAAACATGGTAGAAGAAAACCCGAAAAGGGGCGCAACAAAAGATCAAACGTATCGGCAGGATGCCATCAAATAAAGAGTAACACACATTTACAAAATCAAAGAAATAAAATATAGCCATAGATTTTTAGATGACCATTTAATATTTAATTTAGGCAAAGGCGAAATGAGCGAAAAGTGAAGTACACGGCGATTGGTTGTAAAAAATAAGGGGCGGAGAAAAGATTTAACAATTGAAGGAGAACATGTCCCTCATGCCACGTGATGTAACATGACATATCACGTGATATTATGCGGGTCAATCACCATCCTCACTAAATACATCATGTCATTTGTGTATTTTCTTTTCAGAAAGTTCCAGAGCTCCGAGAACTTGATGGCTCCATCATGCTGACAGTCTACATGGTCGACTGCAGCTATGTCAGTCCCAATGTCAGTGTCCAAACGAATGTCAGTGTCAATACTAATGTCAGTTACAATAAATATACGACCTATGCGTTAATAGAGAAAACCAGTTGTCCGCCCATCGTCAAGCCACTGCAATGTAAGTTGATGGAGCGCTTTTATGATCTCATGGAGCGCTTTTATGATCTCATGGAGCGCTTTTATGATCTCATTGAATGCTTGCACAAACTCATAGAACGCGTGTATGAAATCATAGAACGCTTGTATGAACTCATAGAACGCTTGCACGAACTCATAGAACGCTTGTATGAACTCATAGAACGCTTGTATGAACTCATAGAACGCTTGTATGAACTCATAGAACGCTTGTATGAACTCATAGAACGCTTGTATGAACTCATAGAACGCGTGTATGAACTCATAGAACGCTTGTATGAACTCATAGAACGCGTGTATGAACTCATAGAACGCTTGTATGAACTCATAGAACGCGTGTATGAACTCATAGAACGCGTGTATGAACTCATAGAACGCGTGTATGAACTCATAGAACGCTTGTATGAACTCATAGAACGCGTGTATGAACTCATAGAACGCGTGTATGAACTCATAGAACGCTTGTATGAACTCATAGAACGCGTGTATGAACTCATAGAACGCTTGTATGAACTCATAGAACGCGTGTATGAACTCATAGAACGCTTGTATGAACTCATAGAACGCTTGTATCAACTCATAGAACGCTTGTATGAACTCATAGAACGCTTGTATGAACTCATAGAACGCTTGTATGAACTCATAGAACGCTTGTATGAACTCATAGAACGCTTGTATGAACTCATAGAGCGCGTGTATGAACTCATAGAACGCTTGTATGAACTCATAGAACGCTTGTATGAACTCATAGAACGCTTGTATGAACTCATAGAACTCTTTTATGAACTCATAGAGCGCTTGTAAGAACTCGTAGAACGCTTGTAAGAACTCACAGAGCGCTTGTATGAATTCATAGAACGCTTGTATAAACTCATAGAACGCGTGTATGAGCTCATAGAACGCGTGTATGAGCTCATAGAACGCGTGTATGAACTCATAAAACGCTTGAAAGAACTCATAGAACGCTTGTAAGAACTTATAAAACGCGTGTATCAACTCTAAGATTGCTTGCATGAACTCACAGATCGATTTTTTCTTGCAGTAAAAGACATTTCTAACATTGTAATGCTGATCATTGGCGGATGTATGACGACTGCCTTGCTGTTAAACTTTGCCTGCTACTGCAAGTATAGGAAGAGACGAGACTCGGAAACACCCGAAGGTACGCTTGACTGGGCCCCCCATCCCCAGGGGGGAGGTGTGAGTGAAACATAAATAACGTTTATTTCTTGATGACTTTTCATGTTAAAAATTCCGATGATATTGGAAAAGGTGAGATCTGATTATTTCTAATCGTAAATAGCAAGGTCTTTTATGAAATTTGTCCATCGAGGCGACTTTTTTTGTCCAGTTCCGGAATTGAAACATAATACTTAAAAATCGATTTTGAAGACGACAATTTCCACTCCCAACATTAAAATGGAATGGAAATGTTTGGAATCAAATTTCAGATATCCATAAAATTCGGAAGCTCTCTTAGGACGTCATATCCGGATGAAATGTAGCTTTTTAAATTTTAAATGACATTTATAGACGTCGTGATGTAAACAATTACTAGAAGTGACCGTTTTAAACCGCCTGAAGTTATAGCAAACTATTTTCGCTCATCATCTCAGCTTTCTCTTTTAGTGTTATGGGTACCTCGTTCTTAAGCCATAAAAGCCATATTTGGTCTTCCAACCTACATCTACATCCATTATAGCTGCAGTTTTGTCGTATATTAGGATTAAATCTAATAACATTACAGCTGTAGTGTTGTCTTAAATCAGGCTTACATCTAAATCCAAAATATAGCTGCAGTACCCTACATCTACGTACACATTCACTATAGCGGCTGTCGTGTGCTTGTAAAATTTATTGAGATTAACAAGGGAGAAGATTTATGATAGCAAAAGTCTATGGTCAGAAGTGACAAAGTTCAAAATTAAAATAAGTTGTTTTTTTGTTTTGTTTTTTTTTGGTTTTTTTTTTGTTGTTGCTGTTTTTAAAAACTATTTAAGCTTTGAATAGCCCAGAGTTGAAACATATGTGTTTTGACTCAGCAGTGGCCTCACTGGGGTTGGTGTCACTCAGTGCTGTAAACTCCTGGTGTCACCCCCCAGATTTCTTCATGGACTTCCTCCAAGTCTACCTGCTCCAGCGACACCTCGATTGGTGACACCTTGTTCTTTTGGCACTGTGTTCTTCTGGCACTTTGTTCTAGTGACACTCTGTTCGAGTGGCACTTTGTTCTAGTGGCAGTTTGTTCTAGAGGCAGTTTGTTCTAGTGGCAGTTTGTTCTATTGGCACTCTGTTCTAGTGGCACTCTGTTAAAGTGGTTCCTTATTCTGATATCAGGATATTGGATTTAACTGAGTTGTGTTATGAAACCAACTCTTGCACACCTTGTCAATGCATTGTACTGTGCTCTATTATTGTCAGAATCCCCCCCTCCACCCCTTCAGACAAATTAGTGGTCGGCTCATTAAACTATGTTCAGAGCAGCTCTCCTACATTTTTTGTTACATCTTTAATAAATCTTATGTAACTCACACAATGACAGCCATTTGGAAAACTTCAGAAATTATACCAATTCCAAAGAAAATTAAAGTAACGTGCAGCAATGACTTACGACCTGTTGCACTTAATTAAATAATTCTGAAAGTAATTTTGAATGAAGTACAGCAAAAATTTGACCCCCACCAATTTGCTTACAAACCTGCCAGAGGTACGGAGGACGAAATCTTACTATTGTTGGAGAGACTTTACCATCACCTAGACAGTCCTAAAACATATTCCAGAGTGTTTTTCTTAGACCTCTCATCAGCATTTAACACTATCCAACAACACCTTATGAAAAAGAAACTTTCCTCGTTAGGTGTCAATTTAAATATACAGGCTTGGATACTGAACTTTTTAACAAATCGACCACAATATGTCAAAGTAAATAACCAATTATCTCTAACCAGAGAAATAAGCACCGGGGCACCACAAGGCTGCGTTCTCTCTCCTGTACTTTATACCATATATACAAATGATATTCATTGCTCAAGAGACACCGTTCCAATCTTAAAATTTGCTGATGATACCATCATCGTTGGCTTAATATCTGAAGGTGAAGGCCCTTACAACACCTTATTTACGAGCTTTATCAATTGGTGCGATCAAAAGTTTCTCCAGCTGAATTTCTCAAAAACAAAAGAAATGGTTCATGATTTCAGGAGTGGGAAACACCAGATTACTGATCTCAACATAAAAAATCAAAATGTGGAGAAAGTGGAGGGATACAAATACTTAGGTGTCACCATTAATAATAAGCTAACATGGCATGAGCACGGTCAAATGCTGTATACGAAATTCAACCAAAGACTGTTCTACCTAAAAAAAACTGTACAATTTCGGTGTAAACAAGCAAGTCGTTAACTTATTCTACAGTGCAATAATTGGAAGCCTGCTTAATGTCAGTATCACCTGCTGGTGTGGGAATTCAACGTCTGATATTAAACACCACATAAACCGACTAATCAAGAAAGCTAGGAACATAACACAAACTAAACATCCTTCACTTGAAGAACTATTTGAAGAAAGATGTTTTTGCAAAACTAAACACAGTTTGGATGATACATCACACCCCTCTTCATCACATATACTTAGGATCGGGCCGTTCGGGACGAATTCTTTCCATCAGGGCGAGGACTGACAGATATAAAAAATTCTTTTGTTCCCCAATCTGTACGAGTTTACCGACGTGCTCCCTCTGAAGTCACACATCTGAATGAGAACTAATAAGTCCCCAACTTTGCTAAGAGAACTCACTAAATGGCTGTTTGAAATAATTCATTTATTATAAATGTCTTGTGTTCAAATTGTTTTATTTATGTGCTGAAAATGTATAATGCAATCAAAAAACATTTCCATTCGTTTGGATCAATAAAATAATCTTATCTTATCTTTTCTTATCTTATCTTTCCCGTTAGGTTGCCACCTAATATGATCCACGACCCCACAATCCTTACTTACACTTAATTAATTTTTAATGAATAGTTAATAAAACATAAAGGCGGAAAGCTATGATTGGGCCTTTCTGTTATCGACCATGTTCTTCTAGATCAATTCTTTGACAAAGATCTTGCATGATCCGCATTGTAGGAGAATTGAAACGTCTGTTTGTCGTCTGTCTGTCGTTCGCCATTCGTTTCCCCGTCTTTTTTTTGTCTATTGTTTGTCTGTCGTTTCTCTGTCGTCCGTCTCCAACAATATTAACATTTTTTTTTTTTAAAGTACTAAATCCATTTTCTCCCATCGCAGAATTGAGCCAGTCCAGCTCACAAGAGACGCCCAAAAATTCACCCAAAAAAGAGGGCAGCACCGTCAGTGTTCAGTCAACGAGATCCCAGACCACGCAAGCCAAGACCGCCAAGACTGTCAAGAGTCCCAAGGGGGTAACAACCCTGTTTACCAAATACAAAGAGTCGAACGCCGATTCATCAGCTTACAGTGTCACGTTATAAATTACAATATGAAATAAATCATATTCCGGAAAGGAGCGAGTTTGTGGCATTATTTGTACCAAGAATAAGCCAAATATATAATATTTAGGAAGATAACTGATCTTTAAAATCAGCATTTACTTTAAATAAAAATTATTTTTCAGCTTTAAGGTATGTAACTCGTGTGATAATTGAAAATCAGATGTGTTAAAATAGCTTCCCTTGATTAAAATCTTGAAAATCACGAACTAAGGGATATTTTAAATGTCTAAATTTGCAAACCGCAGACGATTCAGTTTAACGTTGAAAGAATAAACTGTGTACTGATTTGACCTCCCTAGGTTCATTGGTATAGGAAAAGTGGGGGGCCGTGGGGATGTGTAGGTTTTCCTTGTGTTGCACATTTATTCTTTCTATGGAGGGGGTGGCGAAAGTCCGGACCCACCCCGGGTGGCACTAACACGAGCCACGCCACTGTCTAGGAAAAGTAGAAACCAAGGAATTTAACGCTAATTTTTAAAAAGAACTCTCAAACTATTTTAACGAATAAGCTCAAGTGTAATTGTTAAATAAATCAATTTTCTTTTGCTAGTATTTCTTTTAAACATAAAATATTTTATTTGAGTAAATATATGTTTATTTATGCAAGTTTACACCAACGTCACACACTTTTCCCGATACTATGAGCAGATGCCGATTTCCAATACTGGGAGATGACACCAGTCTTATGCTTCTTTTAATTCTCCAATTTAACGATTTTGTCAGCTTTGGAACAAAAAAAAGAGTGTATTTTTTGTTTATAGTAGCATAATAAATTGTTAGCCAGAGATGGAAGAAATGTAATACCCATTACCCAATCAAGGAAAACAAGAAGTCAAGAGACGGTAATATGGAAGTGTGTGTGTGGGTGGATGGGTGGATTGGTGGATATATGGATAGATAGATAGATAGATAGATATATAGATAGATAGATAGATAGATAGATAGATAGATAGATAGATAGATAGATAGATAGATAGATAGATTTGTGGGGGGGGGGGGGAGGGAGGAGTTTTGAGTTAACTCCCTTTATTTTAATGGCCTTTTCTTGCAGGCACCTCGTCCCAATCCTCATTTCAATTAGCACTGTTATATAGAACTGATATATAGCACTGATATATATGGCATCCTTCCGTCTACGTGAGACGATGGAGTAGCTCTATAGTTCTACACTTTGACGAGTGGCTCACTAGGACAATCCTAGAATGGCAATCAAGGCCGCATCTCTCGCAGGAGAATGTTAAAACCCGGTAAATTCTTGATTTCCGAATTCTTCTTTTGGATTCAAGGGCCTCGTTTCGAGTATCTTCTGCCTTTTTACTCCTTCAAACCCTGCTGTTCGCCAGTTGGAGCGATGTTCGGTAATGAACTCCCATTCGTTTGTTTCAATATTGGCTTCGTTTGCAAATGTCAATAAATAAATAAACGTCACTGATATTTAACACTGTTATAAAGCATTGATATATAGCACTGGTATGCAGCACAATTATACAGTACTAACATTAATAATTGTGTTAGATACTTCAATTTAAGTTAAATTAACGGCTTAAAGTAAATAATACTTTTAAATATCAAATTTATTATAACAATCGATATTGACAATTATTTTGTAAACCAGCAGCTTTAATTAAAATTTCTAGCGAGCAATAGATTTCTTGGGTATATCACAACTGTGCAAAGTAGCCATATCATTACGTCATCTTATATAGTCCAGGGATAGAGCGGTTACATAATATAACATAATGAAACATGCATCACATTATTAATTTTAACGTTTTGCAAGTATATTTTACTTCTCCCCCTTACGTCGCCTACAATTTGAGGTCCAAAATAGTTAACTAATGCTACTTGATTGCATTTAATAGACTCCGTCCAGAAATCTGTTTAGAATATTATTTTTAATTGATGTTAATCTATTATCCTAGAGAACGTTGTTTTCAAATGAATTTTAACATGTCCTATTTTTTTAACTTACACATTTGCAGCAAAAACAGTATAATTTCAGTTTCAAAATGTTTTAATGTATCTATATCAAAATGACATATTTTATAACACAATTTCACAAAGTAAAATAACAACAAAAATCAAACAACTGATTGGTTGACAATGCCCAACTTAAATATTCAAGCTTCGAAGTCTTACCCCTTAGTAAAGTAACAGTGCGGCATTTCAACAAATGAACACTTGTAAGCAGTATTTGTTACAATATAAAAAAAAAAAAACAACAACGTTAAATTACACCCAAAACTCAAAAGGACTTGGTTACACAACGCCTAGGATATCTACCACTAACGGTGTATTCTATAATTATGTCTGTTATATTCATTTTCGCTTAATTAGAAAAGAAAACGATTTATTGTTAATGATATCCAAATAATGGAATATGAATGTGTCAATATACGCCTAACTTTGATGTATTATTTTAATTTAATGTTGATTTTATTCTCTTGTAGCCCATCTGTAGCTTGTCTTAATATCGTATGTTGTATCTTTCTTTGCACTACTCTGTTAGCCCATATATAGCTTGTCATAATATTGTATGTTGTATCTTTCTTTGCATTACTTTGTTTTGTCTTATAAGATTCTCTTGTGTTATTTGATGTCATTAATTTGTTGTATTCCATGATGCTATTAATGTGTTGTATCCCATGATGCTATTAATTTTGTGTATCCCATGATGCCATTAATTTGTTGTATCCCATTATGCCATTAATTTGTTGTATCCCATGATGTCATTAATTTGTTGTATCATCATAAAAAACGTGTGACAAATTAAATTGTCGACCTGCTGACGGCAAGTGGCGCAGTACTTGGTACTGAGGAAGCTGGGGCGCCGTGTTGCGTGACCGGCTCCCTGACCTTTGTGTGGTTCGTGTGGTGGGCCTTGCAGCTGTGGCGGCCAAATAGGATGGATCGTTGATTATAGAGCTGGTCACCTGGGGGAAGATAGTGCTGGATAAGTTTTCATAACAAGAGTTGAAAAGCATACATCCTGTATTTGTAAGGGAACAGAGGGAACGAACAGGGGCTTAGCTAAACTTAATGCCACCTGTGGGGAACTCTCAGAAGGGACCCATTCCCAACCCCTACCCCCCCCCAACCAAACCAAACAGAAAGTTTTTTTTAAAAGTAAAATTATAAAATAAAATATTTTAATTAATTAAAATAAAATAATAAAACGATATGTTTAATATAAATCTCAAAAGTGACGCCCCTGCCGGGGTCACCTCTCTCACCCCCTCCCTAGGTTCGCCACTGGTAAGGGCTCATCATTTTTTTTTTCTTTAGATGTGAGCTGAGGTAGGTGAGTACTCCGACTTTGCCCCTTTCGATTTGTATAGCCATAAAAAAAAGCATTTCTTTGTGACGCCTATGTTTGCTCTCTAGCTGTTGAACTGCAGTGAATGGCACACTGAAGTCGACGGCTCATTGGATTGTTTTATTATGACACACTGAAATAAAGGCTCCCAAGATTATTATATTATGATAACTGAAGTCGAACGCTCATACAGATGGTTTTTATGCGAAACGCCGAAGTTAAAGGCTCATAAGATGATTTTCATACGACACACTTAAGTTGAAGGCTTATGAGATTCTATTATTACGACACACTTAAGTTGAAGGCTTATGAGATTTTATTATTACGACACACTTAAGTTGAAAGCTTATGAGATTCTATTATTACGACACACTTAAGTTGAAGGCTTATGAGATTCTATTATTACGACACACTTAAGTTGAAGGCTTATGAGATTCTATTATTACGACACACTTAAGTTGAAGGATTATGAAATTCTATTATTACGACACACTTAAGTTGAAGTGTTATGAGATTCTATTATTACGACACACTTAAGTTGTAGGCTTATGAGATTCTATTATTAAGACACACTTAAGTTGAAAGCTTATGAGATTCTATTATTACGACACACTTAGGTTGAAGGCTTATGAGATTCTATTATTACGACACACTTAAGTTGAAGGCTTTTGAGATTCTAATATTACGACACACTTAAGTTGAAGGCTTATGAGATTCTAATATTACGAGACACTTAAGTTAAAGGCTTATGAGATTCTATTATTACGACACACTTAAGTTGAAGGCTTATGAGATTCTATTATTACGAGACACTTAAGTTGAAGGCTTATGAGATTCTATTATTACGACACACTTAAGTTGAAAGCTTATACGATGATTTCAACGTACTGTTTTAATTTAATCCATTCTGGTGTATGACAAAATATATAAAGTATATAAAATTCGTTATTTTATTTTAAAACTGCACTCTACAAACCAGCTTAATAAAAATGCTAAGCACCTAAAAACTATCTTTCATCCCATGCTATCGTCAGCTCACCTGTGATCTATCTATTCTTCACCCAATGCTATCGTTAGCTCACCTGTGAACTGTTGGTGTCTCTCGGTCTCCGACCCCGTCTCTGACTGGCTCGGAGATTCCCCAGTGGGGCACTGTCCCCCTCGTCCATCTCTTCTTGGGGCTCACTCCTTGAGATGGACTCATCCCAATGCCTCTGGGATATCAGCTGGTTTATGACAGAGTGGGACGGCCACTGCATTTGCGGATAGTCCTCGTCTTCACCACTTTCGTAGTGGCCCAAAATATTATCTAGGAGAGAGTAACATTAAGAATAATTTCACTGGCGTGTGTAGAAGCTCTACAATAAAGTTTAAAGTGTTTCAGTAAAGTTTCAAACATTCCAATAATGTCTTTAGCATTCCAATCATTGCCAATATGGTTTAACAGATGCATTCCAACATGACCACAATCAATTCATATTTCAAGCATTGCATTTATGAATGTTCTTATGGAGCTGTAAATTCAAAGAGAATACAATTTTAAGGAGCTAAAAATAATATTTTGATTTAGAATCTTCGTCAAAGGGGTTATTTCCAATACATGTCCCCAATATATGCCAACAATACATGCCACCAATACATGCAACCAATATATGCCACCAATACATGCCACCAATACATGCCACCAATACA